GCTGGACCGTGGCCTGCGGCTGCAGCCACGGTTGAGCCTCAACTTTTAGAGGTCTGTGTCTGTGGGCTATTTGCCAAAATATACACTAGGTAGAATGCCTTACACACACTTTTGTGATGTTGCACTCTCTGTATGACCACAAAAGAAAACTATACTGATTTGAAATTCTGAAAGCAACATTTATTTCATTTTTTTAAACCTCATTTAAAATACAAAATATTTTGCAGTATTATATTGTAGAGTAAACCATTTTGACAGACTTTCATGCTTCTCATGTAGCTTAAACATTATCCAGGATTTCATATACTGCATGTCCTACTGGATGTCCAGTCACTTAGAACTTTGTCTTCAGTATTCATGCTCCGATGTGCCAGTTCACATATCTGTTCATGCCAGTTCTGTATGCCTATGCCCCAAATTATAATTTTACTTTTTTTTTCTTTAGATCACACCCCTACAAAGATGTGTCAGGAAACGTCTTAGGATGACAGATGTCCAGTGTGCTGCATTCAGACACCTGATGTTGTCCTAATATAGATTCACAAATTTGGTAGAACTGATACATCCTGTTTAAGTATGTATCTTATTATAAAAAAAGACAGAAAAGGTGCATTAATTGTCAGAGACAATGCAGGTGTCACAAGAGCTCAGTCACAAGGTAAATAATATTATTTGATACCTGATAGCCTAAACATTTGAGCCAGAAAATTCACCTGGCAAGTTCAAAATAATAATAAATTCCACAGCAAATGAAAGAGTGAAAACTGTAAATAGTCTCATCTCACGCAAAGCCATTTTGCCATTCCCTACCCATAATGCAGCAGAAGTCAAGCTCTCACCTCTGACCTCAACACTCAATTCAAGCCATTATTTACAAAGTAATAAAAATATCTACATGTAGAAAGCTGACACATTGCAACCTAAAAACTTGATGCAAGTTATGATAAACCAGACATGAAAATGTTCACTGAGGGCAAAAAAAAATGTCTTGCATCTCCTGTTGGGATCAGACTGCTTGGTGCACATCTGAATTATAGACTGTTACTCAGGGAAATAAAAAAGTGATAGTATATACTGTATATCACACACGCTTTAACACAGTAGCATGCATGTTCTGCAAACACACACACACACACACACTCTCTCTCTCATGCAGCCAAACATTCACACAGAAGCTTCATTCATTTACAGTAATACAAGACTCACAGATAGCTGCATTTAGAATGTGACAACATACACAGATATAAGGTTAAATGCTTAAATCAATGCCACCAGTGTGTTTACCATTTGCAGTGAAACAAGCAATAGCTTCATTCACATAAACAGATGCACCATTTCCACATTCAGTATCAGTACGCATTTATCCAACTACTTCATTTCTAAGTGCTACTAGTAACAGTAAGTTCCATTCTTTAAAGAGTCTCTACCAGATAGTGAGTCTGGTTCTCACAGGCAGTTACCTGGTGAGTATGTTGGCAGTAGTTTAGTGCTACTGAGCAGCAGCTCCTTCTTATAATGAATGAGTTAGAAGGAGAGAGTTGGGTTCCTACACATTTCTCACATTCTGTATTTTCTCAGTATTAAATTCTTAGTGAGATGGTGTTATTTGGTGCACTTCTTGTATATGCTGATGACAGCTGGATAATATGATTGTCAACAAGGCCATAGCAATCTATAGCTGAAAATAATTCCTCACAATTATTACCAGTGTACAACTGTGAAAAAGGTCATTTTTGAAATCCACTTTTTCCAGGTTTTCAGTGTAGGAACCCTGGACCCCAAAAGAGACTCAAAGAAGCTGCTGCCAGGTAACAGACCCACAAGGAGATTTCATACTACTCTAACTACAGAGTTCATACTGTAATAGAGAGTTGTAGTTTTAATGTACCCTTATGAACAAATTCATCATGGAAATAAGTAGAGCTTATTTACCCTGAATGTTTTATTTAGTTCTTGAGCAGATAAGTAAGAGGAAATGCTATGTTGGGATAGTGGTCAGTTCTGACCATGCCATGATCGCCTAAAACAAAGGCTTGCACAGTGGCCGCAATTCAGGGTGGAAGCACTCAACAGTGATGTTGGCTCAGTCTCTACTCCTATTTGGTTAGTGCTCAGTAACAAGAACCATGGGCTTGATGTACAGGAAAAGATCAGGAAAGCATAGCAAGAGCAAGGTTGGGGTAAACAGATCAAATCAGTGTGGGAGTTCTGGGTGGTTTGCGTGATAAGCAGTGACTGAATGCTGAGTGTTTCTAGTCAGGTTTCCAGTGACTAGAAATGGATTGACATCCCAACCTTGAAATATACTTTTATTCATATTCGACTACATATGCACAAACAGTTCATCTAACTCACAGAGACATACACTATCTTCACACATCTCACAGCAGTGTTTACAAAGACACTGCAGCCATATTTCCCTCTGCCATTTAACACACTCTGAACAAAAGAACAATAAAAGGCATACCCAGTCGCTAGTACTGTACGTGTGCACCATATACAGTCTAAACCAGGGGTGGGCAAACTTTTTGACTTGCGGGCCACAATGGGTTCTAAATTTGACAGAGGGGCCGGGCCAGGAGCAGAAGGATGGAGTGTTTGTGTTTGTGTGAACTAATATAAATGACATATAAAAGCCATTACATAAAAGGTTTTCCACCTAGAAATCTAGCCCAGTTGATTTTTTCTAAGTTCTTCCACTGTATAGATATATGTTTAGTGTGTTTGCAAAAGATTTAATATGGCACTAAAATACACACACAGCCACACTCTGGCTCAGTCTAAGCAAGGAACTCCTTTTTGTACATTCCTTTGCTATTCTGCATATATTGCTTTCTCTCTACTCTCTTCACATCCGTTGTTTCAGATCTTCTGTCAATGATCATGGGGTATGTGGTTAATGGTCTTTGCCATTTTGAGTGTGTGTTGATCAGAGGTGGTCACAATGTGACAAGGGCTGGCAGGTTTGGAGATACAGGCGTGGCAGCAGTCCTGGTGACAAGGTATCTGGGGCCACCGAAGTGACAGCCACCATGGTAAAAATTAGGTGTCCACACTGACCATCACCTTAGCAAGTGTCACCACAAAGATGGTCACGTTTGCCAGGGTGACAAAGAGTAGCCATCAGAGCCAGATGTTAGACAAACGAGTTCATGGCATTAACAGGTGATGGGGCTTCTGAACTCTCGTTGCCTTCATGTGTGTCTTTCTCTTTCTTGCCGCTGTACTGGCCAATGAAGGAGCCATCCTCATTGAACTGTCCATCCCCACCCTCCCCGTAATCTACAAGGCTGTCATCACTCTCATCACGGCGCACCGTTCCATTGGATGGTGTACGGCTGCCCTTCAGTGGCTTGTGGTCCTCTGTGTCACTGCAGCAGGAGGAAATGGTAGTGAGAAAATAACAAATGCTGGTTGCTTTTTATATTTTTTTCTGCAGTGGTCAGAAACCCTAGTGCCCACACAGAGGACAGGCTCTTACCAAGCATAAGCAGTTTATATCCCCCTTTTCCACTGCACAAGTGCACCCTGACACATACTGTCTACTATACTGTGGCAGCATGTTTTTATGCTGTCTTTTGTATATAGTTTGGTTTAGCTCAGGTGCACTACATGTGTTCAAAAGTGACACCACACTAATGCATTATAACAATGGAAATCCTGGTACATTAAATGTCATGGTACAGAACTGGTACAGTGGATAAGCTCAGCTGCTATATAGTATGTTCTATAGTGTTAGTTCTGTAATGGTTTAAGCCCAGGTGCTGTTAAGAGTCAGGGTTAGCAACCACAGCTGAAGAGGATCTTTGCACATGCGTGCTGTTCCTTTACAATATTGTAACTGCATTAGAAGGCAATTCCTGAAAGGATTCCAGTCCATGTGTTTTCAATTCACATGCAGCAATCCAAAATGCAATTATTTAGCCAAAGACAAAGTCATTATTACCATTTATGTCCTGGTTTTATGCTCCATTTGTTTAAAAACACCTCCCTCTTCTATTCAAGCTCTATATACAGGCTCATACTGTACATTCTACTTTCAAGCTCAGTGCATTTGTGCTTGAAATAATTGAATTAAATGATAAAAATCACTAAATGATGGAAGCCAGAGAAATAAAAGCAGTGATATTTAATGCTAAAACGTATGACTAATGTTATAACTGTTGTGATGTTGACTGTCTCATAGCGATGAGTATGATAACATAATAAAGGTAAGATTGATGTGCTTTGTCCTTGAATCTAGTCTTACTTAAGTGGAAAAATTAGCTTGAGATATTTTAATTGGTTGTGTGAACTGCATGCTGGTTTTACCACTTCTCCTCTTACCTTTCCATAGACCTAAATCCCCCAGAAAACAAAGATAAAAATGGAAGGACACATGAAAAGCAATTCGTGAGCTATAATGAGTGACTTTTCTTTTATGAGCTTCTCATAAGCACAAACAAAATATTTCAGTTTTACGAGACAAAGCATGCACATGGAAACATTTAAAGCACAATGACATCTGCAGTAATCGCTAAATAAAAGCACCACACTGTAGCAACTAAATGTTGACACACAGTAGCCCTCTAAAGCCCTGACAAGCCAAAAGCTAGATCATCAATTCACATTTTTAGAAAAAGGTGAAAATGTGATGAAAAACTAAAACTACTAATGACATTTTCTCCACTTGTTTTGAGACCAGTTGGCAAACAATTGACTTGAGCAAGAGATGAGATTGTGTTAAAATGGACATCCAATATTATACATTATACAAAGCTTTTTTATGGCCAGTGTGTGGGTGAGTTGATCATTATAAGGGTCAACACTGAGCTGTGTGGATTTTGTCTTGCCTCTGTGGAGTGTTTGGTAATGGAGTCTGGTGGGGAGAGTGCCTCTGCAGCCTGGTAAAATGTTCTACATACAAACAGTCAAAGTCAGGACATAACAAAAGAAAATACATCTCATACACTATTATTACTGCTGTCGTCCTGTCCCTGCCATATACTAGATTTTACTGACTGACGAATGATTTCTGTGTCATCTCTCTCACCTGTATTCTCCAAATGTCCCATCATCCTCCTTCATGGGCTGGATCTCAGGGTCTTGATGTGCATCTTCTTTCTCTTTCACTGTGGATTACACAATTCTTTTTTTTCAAGTTTCTACAATGTGCATTTCCTAATTTCCAAAAATACAGTATCTAGTGATATTATGTGCATTACCTGGATATTTACCACCCTTGTTCCTCTTAATGAAGCACACTATGAGAAGGACCAAAATAAGGAGAGCCATGGCACACATCAGTCCAATAAACCAGCCCTGGGTGGCGATGTCTACCTGTCGGCTGGGTACAGCTGGACACACGCAGAAAAGTGGGCAGGAAAGAAAGACGGAGATAAAGTGTAAGCATGACTGTCAGGCCAAATTTAAATCTAGGCTTCTAAAAATGGCATGATCTGTTTCCTTCATGCTGGGCAACACAGATTAACGGAGGCTGAAATGGAATTTTAAAATGGGTTAATATGCAATGATCATTTTAGGCACAGAAAACATGACGACAACAAAAAAATCAAAAGTCACAACAGTTAAATAATGGACCTTTTAGTGATGATTTTAAATGACATGCATCAGACCAACTTAATGGCAACTCCTGACATGCTTATAGACTAACTAGCAAACTACACTGCTGGACATTCATGTCTGAATGTGACAATGTACGTCTGATGATGACACTTCATGTACAAAGATGGGACAGGCAAAAAGTAAATACATGTACAAAGACCACCAATCCTGAGGCATGCTGCTTCACCTGGCACAGAAACCAACACTTCGTCTGTGCTGTGGACAGTTGGGTCGGCCGGGTCTCTAGCTACCACACGCACCCGATAAGACGCCCCTGGCTTTAAACCTTTTACCATATGCGAGTGTGAACTGTTTACCAACTCCTTTTTCCAGTCCTCTTTACCTAGAATCGGTGTAGTGGATGGAGAGGAATAAGATTCAAGAAAATAATTATTTGAATGTTAGTTTTGAAGAGTAAATTATTACAGGTAAGATACTGTAACTTCAATCATAGACAGTCAATCAACACAATCTGCACAAATGTTTTGAGATGACTGTATATACAAACTGAATCCTTACTGTTCTCTACAATATATTCCACATATACGTTCTTATGGTGTCCAAAGTATTCCCAACTGATTACAGCACTGTCCTCCGATACAGACGTGTTAACTGTGCCAAACGCAGGGCCTACAGGAGGCACTGAGCACACAAGACAGAAAAAATATATTTATTGTAACAATTTTAGAATGTCACATGATTTTTCAATGTATTAAATATAAAATAAATATGCAATAAACCCTTTCAAATATTAACAGGGAATCAAAATATGTATTTCTTTGTCCATTTCCATGTTCATAAAATCTTGAGGTCAGTATGCTAATGTGAAGGACAAAAAATGGTGTCTACAAAAACTTATAACAGGTCATAGGTTACATTTAGTAGGCTGTCCATCCCACCTAGTATGTACTGCAGTTATTAGGAAAAATATGTAATCATGCAGTACAGGCCTTTTTGTATCAACACTAAGGAACAATTAGAGGAGTGCTGAGCCTGTCACGACCTAGAAGACATTCACCAAGTTGTCTGTGCTTTACTCTTCTTTTGTGCTAAATTAAGACATTTACTGAGATGGACCATTTTTTCATTTGCATTTTGCAGCACTGCATTTGTGTGTTTTATTTGGTAGTAGTAGGGGGCGCAGGGAGTGATTGCACCCTTGTGAAACAGAGAATGTGGAGCCTGAGTGATGGGAGAGGTTGGGTGAGGGGGCTCTGTGGGGCCTGAAAGAAAAAAAGGAGACAACACACGTACACGCTACAATGGACAACAAACATGGTGGGACACCTCTCAGTCCTGAGATTTAGGGTTAAATTAAACACCTGGCACCAACATTGTATTTAAAGAAACAAAACAAAACACTGCAGCATGCATATTATGTGGTTCAAATCACTCGCATCACTCTTGTTCATTCATATACACAATCTATCAGTTTGCCATCAGCAGGTGAAAATGTGTTAGTACTAGATGAGAATAAAAGGCATTCATGAGCATCATGCGAGAGATTTCTAATGAAAAAAATAATTTAAACAGAAAAAGGTAAAGACCACCAGCACAGCTAATTTTAGTGCATAAAAATCACATAGTGTATTTTAGACTTTGTTACAGTAAAAACTTCCTATTCTATCATAAAAGGACAAGCGTGATTGCTTGCAGATGCCATGGAAGTTTAACACATTTAAATCCTGTTTGTCCGCATAGGGAGTTTGCAAACATGTTAACTTAGCAACATGCGAGGAAAAAAGATAAATATAAATAAATTTTGGTTTCTAATAACTGATAATATACATAGTTAGCATGCAGGTACTTCCATTGGCAAACTCAGGTTACCTTTGCCTGTCTCTAGAGTTGGCCGAGTATGAGCTTCGGAAAGAAGAGAAAGAGATAGAGTGGGCGTAAGAGGTGGAATAAGGAATGCAAATGAGCCTTGTGATACTAACTTTCACAGGAACATCTGTCTGGGCACTGCACTCATTTTGGTGGCTGACATAATACTTTGACCTTTCTTTGCTATTGCTGTAATTTGCATGAAGCTAAATGCTCAAGTACACAGGACTCACTTGTGTTCATGACTGTGAAGGCCTCTTCCGTCACCATGGGGCCAGAGCCCTTGATTGTCTTTGCATTTAAGTAAAACTTATAGAGCATGTTGGAGTTTAGGTTCCCCAGGTTGATGGTGGTCTCATTGGCTAGAAAGGTCATGATCTTGACCGGTCCCAATTCACTGGTGCTGTTCACTGCAAAGACAGAAACAACCAGTGATGGAAAAAAGACAGGATGAAAGAAGAAAATATGGGGTTAGGAATAGCTTTTCATTTGCATAAATGTTGCATAACACTCTTACAGTACACAGGTAGCATGTGAAGCTGCTCTTAAATCTACCTGGTTGGTATTTCAGTGTGTATCCAATGAGGCGTCCATTATGGTTCAGTGGTGGGCCCCATACCAGAGTGAGAGAGTCCAAACTAGGGTGGATGACATTCAGAAAAGAAGGGGGCCCTGGTACTAAAAAAACAGAAGCACAGTTGCAAACAAAACCACTCAGCATTGTACTTTAGCAATGTATATAGTAAGTGTAATGATTTTTAATTGAGTGTGTGAGAGCATGTTTTTCAACAATTGTCCTTATATTTTGCATTTAAAAAATCTGCTTTATTGACAAGACAGACATTCAAGACTAGAAGATCCTAATTTTTCTATACACACAGTGCTCAAGGCCAGCAGAGCCATGTCAGACAGTTCCTGTTATACACACCTCCCTCTGGTGTCTCAAAAGTCTTGCTGGGACTTGGAAGCCCTTCTCCTTTGCTATTAAGAACTGTGACGAAGACACTGTAGAGGCTGTAAGGCTGGAGGCCTGGCAGACGTCCCTTACTATGGTTCCCACTGAATAATAAAACCTGCTCCTTCTGATCCGTTTCCTCCTCTGCCTCAAGCAAGCCACGTTCACGACGGTAGTACACCTACAGGAAAGACACGCAGAGTAACTTTTAAGTCTGATACACTGCTGTTTTACTGTTGTTTCCTAAAGTTGGCCTCACTAATATGTTGCCACACAACTGGCTTAGAAAAGGAATGTTTCATAAAGAAGTCTTACAAAAGCTGTTTATTTTGTGAAAAGCCTGGTTTGAGTGAATATTACAAGACTAATCCAGGCCTCGCCTTCAGTGGCGGTTCTACATTGAATTACTCCCCGGGCGAGACCCCCCTCTGAGCGCCGCCCCCACCCCAGTAAGAAAAACTTCTCTCTCAATTGCACAAATCCTTCAACAGAACATTTGAAAACTCTGAAAACATTTGAACTCTCCTCCTGCGCCCCCTCCCCTCCCCTTTCCACCTCTCACACAGCTTCTTTGCACAGCACCTCCTCATCAAGCAGGGGCGCCACATATGATAGATAATAGAAAACTGCTTAGCGGCGCAGATTATTTTCTTTCCAAGTGCTTGTGCTGCCCCCCACGTGTCATGAAAAAATTCCGCCCAGGGCGGCTGCCCGGTTCGCCCATGTCAAAAACCTGCATCTTTACCAACCAAAACTTTGAATGATCAAACAGGACACCAGCTACATATTTTATATAAGAAGTTAGAGTACTTTGTATATTATTTGTATGCAACATTTCTGTGACAGCTTTAATAAACTGCCAAAACAAACCACAGTGTATTTCTATCTTTTGTTTTAACAGAATTTGTTTTCTCATCTAAGCTGCTAAATTACATTTTTTGTTTTGTTATTTTTATTTCTTAGCATTATTCGTCTGTATATTGTTGGTTGTATTTATAGTTTGTATTGTAGCCTTATGGTTTGAACTTTTTAAATAGTGTATTTCTGAAAGACTGCCCCTCATGAGATAATTGACAAAGAGATGTGTAAGCTGTGCTTACAGGCATTCATTCATAGATTTACCAGCAGAAATGAAGACATAATGCATAAATAACCACTTATCAAACAATACCTTGTATCCCTTTAGCTTTCCCCGTACTGAATTGGACAGTACAGGCTCCCAGTGTACTTCTGCTAGCGTACCATTATGAACAATGATCTGAACACTATCAGGGGCAGACAAAGGCACTGTAAAACAGTGAGAGAGAAAGAGAAGCAGTTTGTCAAGATCTACAGTGATGGAGTACTACATTTGTCTTCCAAAACCAAATCTATAGACAAATACTAGTACCATTAAGTGACTCAATATACTGTACATGCCTGAACATGGTTATGCAAAAAGGATCAAATTCAGTAGTTAAAAGTGGGAAAAGGTCATTTTTCAATCACCCACCTTAGAAAAAAACTGGCAACAGATACTGAATAAACCCCCACACAAAAATGTTTATGTTGTATTCAGTGCTTATGCAGTGAATAAATATGTGTTAAAAACTATTATTCAATTCACTCACAGTCTTCTGCAGAGTACCCAGTCACTACTTCAGCCTCTGGGCCACTGCCATAATCATTCGAAGCTTGTACTTTAATTTCGTAGGGCACAAAGGTGGGAGTTCCAGTCACAACAAACTGGGAAGCATTGACTACATTCTTCGATGACCAGGCCTCCTCCACATCCTTCTGTCTCCACTGCACTACGTACTGCAAACCAGGCCCATTGGACTGAAATCCTGTCAGCGGCTGTACAGAGAGTCATTTTAGTAATTCTGTATCAGTATCTTATACTCATGAGTGTGTCTTGTATAGGTATGGAACTACCAGCATATTCTATCCATACACTAAGTCACTTATAGGCTTAATTAGCCCACAGCAATCAGAAATCAAACAATTAAACACAGCCTACTGTCCAGGAGATGACCAAAGTGCCAGGCTCAGTTCCTACTCCCCGAACACCCGATGGATTTTCATCAGGAGCTGGAAAAACCCAAAAAAAATGATGGCACAATCTGAGAACATTTTTAACATATACAATACATTATTTTCTGCTACGTGACTATGTTCATTACCTGCAGGGTTGGTCCTGTATTGATGTGAAGGCAGGCTAGGCTGGCTGTAGCCAACCTGATTCAGAGCCAGCACTCTGAAAGAGTAGTAGACGTATGGAGAGAGGTTTAACTGGGCTGTGGTGCTGGTTCCAGGAACCTCTGTGAGGTTGATCCAAACTCCTGGTTGGTGGAGCAGATCCTCGTACTGGATTATAAACTCTGGGGAAGATTAAAAGATTCAGAATTAATGAATTTGTTGAAGAGAGGCAACTGTCTCACAGAAACAAGACAAAAGCTTTATTGTTTATCATTTCTGTGCGCTAAGTTAAAGTTTTCTGTGTATATTCAGCCATGGTGTCATGCCAGCTACGTTCTCGGATTCAGACTTGACAAATCTTAAATGTGGAAATTCAGTTACTGAGTCACTGAGTGTTGTATCTAGCTTTGGCAGTGGACAAGTGCAGTGCAGTCTGATAAAATAGCTGTAAAACTATGCAGAAATACTGAGCATTTCCTACTCTGTATGGGACTGTTGTGTTCATCTCCAGGGATCCATGTGAGCTGAACGCTCCTCTCTTTCTGGTCAGTCAGTTCCAGGTCAGTCGGTGGGTCAGGTTTCTCTGCAGACGTAACAGAGGAGCTCAGGACCATGGAAAAATAGAAAAGCCTCTCTCTGCTACTGACTGAAGCCAGCGCTTGCTACCGTTTCAACAGAAAATGTGACACTTTTTTCCTTAAATACACACCACTGTACAGTAAATGAGCTACAGTTTAATTCACTCTGATGTATACTGATACTTTTGAGCTTAAAAATTAGCTTTTGATGTCAAGATTTCATCATTAATTTAATTATTTTTCTTATTAAATGTCCAAAAAGTTAAATTAAATAGTAACCAAAAGTAGGCAAGAAGCAAATATAACATGAAAACAAGGCCAGTCTGCATTTCATGAGTGCTCTACTGTATGATCACTGTGGATATGTGATTTATTAATCCTTTTTCAATAATACAGGAGAAGGTTTGTAGAAATTGTTATTATTTTGTCAAGAAAACATTATTTCCTATAGTTGCATTTAGAGCAATTAAACATACTACAAAGACACACAAGTGTTTTCACATCTGGTTGATTAGAACCTCAGAAACAGAACTGAAGGCTGAGTGAAGACAAAGAAAGCTACACTGTGGGCACTGTTTACCGTAGGCAATAGCTGGAGTAGGAGTTGCCTCTGTAACAGCGAGAAGCAGGAGTAAAGTGCAAGAAGAGGATTAGATGTTAGTAACAGATATTTTAGAAATGGCAGAAAAGCAGGACAGTCACTATGGTAATACAAAGGTAATGATACAACTGAAGCCTGTTGTTACTGAGGAGTAAAATTTATGGTTTCATTGTACTGTACTTGAAAAACCAGAACAGGGTTTTCAATCTGACAAAAAAATAAGTAAATCAGAAACTGGACAGTAGAGAAAAACAGAAAAACAGTCAGATATATTACAGTTTTTAATTTAATCCAGAAAACCCTTTGTACATAAGAATAACCTCTGCCATATGGTTTAAACATACCAATGACGGTCAGCATGGCGCTGGCTGAGTCCTGGTCCAGGGTGGTATTCATGATGCAGGTGTAGGTGGCCTCATCTTCATCCGTTACATCTTTGATGGTCAGGCTGTCCGTGCCCACCTCAAACCTGAAAGTATTACCAAGCAAGATGATTTTTCCTATGACATGTTTTAACAGTGTGAAGATAAAATGAACTGTGTGCATTCTTGATCTGCTCTATATTGTACCTCTCATCATCTGGCAGTTCTCCATTGTCTTTGAGCCAAGTCATGGTGGGAATAAGTGATGGGTCGTGTTTGACTTTACACTCGAACACAGCGTTCATTCCTCTCTGCACCACCTTGTACTCCAACTGCTTCAGTATACGAGTGGGCTCTGGAAGACAAAAAAATACAGCTTTATGGCTACATGACTTGATGCCTATATGAGCCTAAACTATTGTCTCTAATAAATTAACAGGCTAAAAGTTGAGCCACCAATCTTGCTGCCTGTGTGATATGTCCATAGCTTACCTTTAACCTCGAGGTAGACATGGTTCTCAGTAATCCCCAGGTTGTTCGTGGCAATACAGGTGTAGTTTCCACTGTTTAATGGCTGGGCCACATGAATCTCCAGTGTACCGTTCTCGTGTATTACGTATAGATCACCATTCTTAATGCTGGTCTGACTGTCTTTGAACCTGCAGAGAAAATGGCAAACAACACTGATCTAAGTACAGTACATATGAGCTTTGAAAAAAAAAAAGCACAATTTGTTTTAAACTTTGACACCACGAAATGTCTCACTTCTGTCTTAATAAAATCAAAAAGCAATGACCATCTTCAGGATAAATTATATACTGTAGATTACAGCATGAATTGGGCTGCATATTTCTGTCCAAAAATGATTCGTGCCTGAGAGTGTGGCGCCCGAACCCGATCCAGACCCAACAAGTTGACTATGTATGTTGTTTTCCCATTATTATTAAATGAAGCAGACATTTGAGTGCTCCTGCTATCTAGTCCAAAGTTTGACATAAGTGTCCGAACCCTGGGGTACTGATGGGCCTGTCAGGCTCTAGTATCGGTACAGTAATCTTTTCAACATGGTTTTTGAAATGTCAGATTTATTTAAATAAATAAATAACATTATCCAATGTCCTGACTGGAATCTTACCATGTGATGGTTGGTATTGGTGAGCCAAAGGAGGAACAGTGGAGTAATGCAGAGTTGTTGGTGATAACCTGGTACACTTGGTTGGGTGGAGTCAGCACTCTTGGTGGTTGAGCTATGGAAAGAAGTGCCACAGTTTCTAAATCAGCCCTCACTGTATCTCACCTATCATGCACAATGGCTCACAAAATTTTACCAGAAAGTGAAAATATGTTTCCAGCTTTACAGACGCTTTAACTCACCAAGTACATTGACAAAAGCATTGGCCATCAGGTAGCCAAACTCATTGGATGCATTACACTGGTAGACAGCACTGGACCCTGACTGCACGCTGCTGAGAATCATTGTGTCATCCTCCACCTTGCGGGTGTGGTCCTCAGGAGCATCTAGCACAGGACCAGAGACAGAATATGCTTTCGAAGCTCAACTGTCATTGCAATTCTGCATCCTCTTCTACATAGTTGGTTGCTATTGTTTACATTAAATACAGAAGTGAGTAAATGTAGTGTACTTTATTTTTGAAAGCATGGTCTCATTTTACTCACTCTCTATGGGAACTCCATTAACAAACCAGGTGATTTTCGGTTTTGGTTCTCCATTTACCCGACACGTCAGGATGCCGGTCTCATTCGGGGCAAGAATCAGGTTTCTAGGAGCGCTGACCCAGAAAGGAGCCGCTGGGGATGATGAACAAAAATAAAGATTCAGAGCAAGATTCTTAAGAGAGTATGACAAAAACGTTTGAGCTGACTTTGAAATACCTGTATTTTTATTTGGATATTTAACCTAATCACCCCTTCTAGTTGTAAAGTTCTGCTATTGCTACCAACCCCAAGAAAAAAAGCTTAAAAAAATAAACAAAACACTAGCAAAGATTAACCTGGACATACCTTTGACAGTGACCTTGATGACATGCTGTGCAGTGCCCATGTTGTTTGTAGCTGTGCAGCGGTAGTCACCGGCATCATCTTCATTAACATTAGAAATCTTCAGTGTTTTTTTGAAGTTATGAAAATACACCCTGCTGCTAGGCAGCTCACCTCCATCTTTCTGCCAGGAGATCTCTGGAGTGGGCCTGTCATAGAAGTCATTTGGTGACATTTTATGAAAGCCCTGGCATTATACTTCTTCCATTAGGATTACTTTTTCCTCAGTTATGCCACTGTAACATCTGATAGTAAACAAATCATTAAGCTAAGATAAATTATGATACATTTTACAGCAAACTTACAAGCCCTCAGCGATGCATTCCAGCTCTAGAGTCTCCCCTCTCAAGACCATCTTGGTGCTGGTGGGGCCCAAAGGCAACATGAAACCAGGGCGACGCTCCCCCTCTGGGCTGTCTGAACACACAAGTACACAAAACTGCAACATTGGACTTGAAGGCTGTTGTTGCCACAGAAGCGTAGAAGGCAAAAACATAAAGCCATTCACATTCTTATGACAGACAGAGGTCAAAGATACACTGCTGATGAAAAGTGATTTGCCAAAGCTGATAGAAGGGAAGTCAAGATGAATCTGCCTGCAAGGGGTAGTCACTGGGTTGTTGACATGGCATCACATGGGTGCTTGGTGGAAACAACCCTCCCAGTCAACACATCCCTCAGAGGTTCCTTATGGAAGGATCAGGATTTTCTCATCATTACTTAAAGTTTAGAAGAAAAAAAAACCAAATGGCCTTTCTATACTTCAGGAGGTAGAAGAAGAGCAATGCGATGTTAGAATAATAATATGATGTATTCATATGTGGCCATCTTGGAAAATTATTGAATGTATGCTTGATGGAGCACATCAGGGGCTTGGGATACAGATGTGTATTTGTCATGCCAGGGGAGATGCAGTTAGCTGATATTTAATGGTATGAATATACAGGCAGGTAATTTGCTTTGGATTAAATATTGTCCCATTCATTGTAGTCAGGACTGTTTTAGTTATATTGAGCAAAATTGCACGTTTGTCTGACATTCTGTGCTTAAACCTTTTATTTGCACAAGTGAACTTCACATAAACCTAACCAGGTAAAAATGGGAGAAAACTGAGGAAGATTACATGCTAATATATTCACAGAGGAGGGGATTGAGGCCAAGTTAAAGATGAGTGTGTATATCGGGTATGGTTGTGCCAGGGAGTAAAAACAGGGCTGGGTTCACACTGAGAAGTGCTGAATGGGAATAAATCAGCTGCACTCACCACTATAGAAATCAGTAACATTGTATAAAGCAGCCAAAGTCTCATTCATTGTTTCCACTGTAATATAACAGAAAATCATAAGCATGCAAAAATGGGAAATAAACAGGCCATGCTTTATGGTACTATGGCTATTTCCTGTTTTAATTAAGGAGCTGATAATTGATTATAGGAAGAAGGGAACAGATGTCTTACCATTATACATTAATGGAGTATGTTGAGACTTTCACTTCTTGGGGGTCCACATTGAGGGGGACCTAACCTAGGGAGCTAAAGTCTCAGGGCTGGTGAAAAAGGCCCAGCAAAGACTGCATTTCCTGAGAGTTCTGAGGAAGAACAGTATTATACAGAGTCTGCTGACGTCCTTCTATCGCTGCTCTATTGAGAGCATCCTCACTTACTGTATGGTGGCCCAGAGGACAGCGCTTCAGAGGGTTATTAATATCGCACAAAAGATTGTTGGCAGCCCCTTTCCTTCTCTGAAAGAACTACACAGCTCCCACTGTCTCAAAAAAGCCTATAAAATTGCAAAAGACTCATCTCACCCTGGTCATTCTTTGTTTGAACTGCTGCTGTCAGGAAGACGGTACAGATCAATTCAAACGAGGACAAACAGATTTAAAAAGAGCTTTTACCCAACTGCAATAATGGCATTAAATGCTGAATAGGCAACAAGGAATATATGCTTATTATGCATTGGGGGGGTTATTGTAACATTGCATGTGTATATGTTGTGTGGGTTTTTAGCTTGTTTACTTTACTTATCCTTTTATTGATAGGGTTTATGTGATTGGATGGGTGAGGCACTGTTAGGATGGCTTTTAAATTGTGTTGTACATGTTGCAATGGCAAATAAAGTTTAACCTATGCATTAGCTTGTGAAAACACAATGTGACACTGCTAGAAGCATTTTATAAAACTCAAGACAAATAAAATACCGCAAACAAAATTCATCTAAGTCTAAAACAGGTTTGCATGAGCAAAACATGGAACTGAAACAAAGAAGTAACACAAAATCCCATTTATCACAAAAACATGGATCTTATGAACTGTTGTACCATGCAAAGTCTTATAGTTTTTAATTTATTATGAGAAAATTATGAGAAATTAAGACTGAAATGCTGAAACTAACACATTCTCAAGTTTAAAATGAATTTTGAATGAAGCTTTTAAGAACAGTGATTGATTTCAGCTGATACCAACTTGGTCAGCATTTGACTTACTGGTCAGCACAGTGACTGAGATGGGCTGTTTCTGCTGGATGGTCTGGGTGTGTGGAAAGCGAGCATAACAGATGTAGTCACTCCTGGTGTCTTCTGGAAGAACGCTGGAAAAATACAAATCTCCATTCAGGGCCTGGGACACTCGTTTATCCAGTGGCAGCCTCTGAAAATCTGGACAGAGAGAGTGTTGGACATGAATAAAGAAAAATTTATCAATACCTTGTTTAATTTAGTTTTGCAAAAAAAGATCATTACTTTCTCATAGGGTCAGTAAATATTCTGGGGGGGTCTATTAAATCAATACTCAAAAATAAATAGCTCATGATAATATCACCATCACTCATTGTCATATACAAAAGGAAGCAAAAGTAGACAGACATACAGGTAAAAGGGTTTCCCCATAATCTATAGTGACTGAATGATGAATACACATTTTAATCCTTTGTTTATGAAGATGAAATCCTTACATCTTTGTATTATGTGTGCAGTTGTACACATGCAAAATGACTCACTGTTATCCATCCAGAAGATGACAGGAGGAGGCAGGCCAGCAGGGGGTCGGCACTGGAGCACTAGGGAGAGCCCCATTTGAACTGTGATGGCCTCATTTCTCTCCTTTGACCACAAGGGGGACCCTGCGAGGCACAAATATCAAGCAAAAGTAATTAAGGCTTCCCAGAACCTAACTACACCACTGTTTTCAAAGTGTAAAAAAATAATTACTATACTGTAGTTGGAGCTCAAGCCATTAGGATATAATTTAATTATGAGAAGTCTTACTTGACTGTCTGATGACGATGTTGTTGGATATGGCGGTGCCGTGCTCATTGTGAGCTGTACATTGGTACGTTCCCTCATAGGCCTCAGCCTTTTCCTCACTTATGTCAATGATCAGAGTTCCTGAACCGGGCTTCATCAGGACTTTGGAGTCTTTCTCTACATCAAAGTGGGTCCCATTTCTTGTCCATGAAAAGCTAAGATCAACAAGAACAATAAACACCACTTTATCTTCCACGCTAGAAGCTTTAGTAGGGCCAGTTTGTTCACATCATCAAAAGGCACTGTGGATCAGGCAGACTGATTTCAAGCACTGATTTCAGCAGGGAGTTTGGCTGATTCTAACACATTTGATTTGGAGGCTGGTGCCACATCTAAACTGTGGCTAAATCACACTTCCAGGTGTTTCTCAACCAATGGGTCCCCATGACGACAGTTGCCATGGCGATTGATATTTTCACACTATTCTAGAATAATCTGCTGTCAGAAAAAAAAAAAATCTATCATTTCACACTGGCCCATGTAAACCGAACAGAAGCCAGATTGCTCCTTTTTATGAAAATCTCAGGTTAAATTTTTAGCGCATCACAAGATATTGTTTCACTGTTTACAGAAGAAACCAGTGAAATTGTCTTATTTAGTGTTAACTGGGATGGACACCTTCATACTTTTTGTTTGTTGCCCTGATAAACAAGCATCAATGGGAGTGGAGGAAGTAATTCACACCTCGGTTTTGGCTTCCCCTTGGCCTCACAGTGGATGACGATGTTCTCCCGTGGATCAAAGATGTAATCCTTTGGGGTCTGTAGCGTTATAGTGGGGGGTTGAGGTACTGTAGAAATATGAAGGGAAGCACAGTTCAAGCACATGCATACTGTACACAAACAGCATAATGTAAACCTAACACACCAGAGCTTCCATTTTTAAACAAAGGCTGTGCAAGCAACATGCAACAAGCAGCCATATTCAGCCAAACCTGACAGTCAAGTCATCTGAAGCAGAAACACTGACAACTATTTCACACCTGATCTGAAGACAGTCCATTGAACCGACAAACTCAGCACCACTCCAAAACAAGCATGTTACATTAAACAGTAACAGTGTTGAAATAACTGCATGCACAGCTAATATTGCTCAAACCCACACAGGCAAATGAATAAGTGTTAAGAGCAAACACTCCCTAGAAATCACAGTAGCATTTGCACCAACTTACATCCTTCCAGTACTTTAGCTTTTTGTCCACCATGACACACCGTACCATAGAGGCAGAATATTGAGGAAAGGTGTTAGTTTTTGCAAGGAATAAATATGTTCAGGTGAAAATGTTGCACTTACAGGTACTATTAAGCATTTGACTGAGCCTGCCTGGTAAGGATAAGCTTTTCCACTTTTTTGGGAGTAGCTTCAGTTTTGTGAGGCAGGTACAATAAATGCAAGAACTGAATTGCATTTCGTAGGCACTGTCCAGAATCTAATGCCAAATCTAATGCCAAAACATGCAAAGCTAGAACATATAAAAAAAAAAAACTTTGACTACTAAACTACTGCTTTTTCTGCAGCTCTTCTAAAGCATTTGCAGCCCCATAGAAGCTATAAATCATTATACCTCACAAAATGAAAAAGTGTTGAATAGAATTTGCATAAGTTTTCTTAATTTACAGAAGTGAAGTCCATACGCCATATTCATATTAAGTGTAAATGTGATAATGATAAAGACAATACTTACGATCAAGAGGCACTTCCAGTGCTGATGTCATGTGACACAAGAGCATCAATATCACAGCCCTAAAGTTCAGCACCCACTTCCAGTTCCTGTCCATGGTTGGGTGCATCATGGTGAGAACCTTTTTTCCGAGGGTAGTCAGTAGGGTGAAGGCGTCTGGATCCACACTACAGAGGTTAAAAAAAAACAGATGAAAAACATAATATATTATTGCATAAGTTACTTGATATTGTGTTTTTAAATGTATATGCAGTACAGAAATTATAGCCCAAGACAAACATACATAGTCACAGGCCTTAAAATAAGTGTAATGTATTTAAAATTGGTGACTACAAATGAAAGATGTGTGGGCAAGGGATAGATATTGTATTTTGTCTGAGTTACAATGTAAGGTTTACTTTGTTTTTCTACTAAGTATACAGACATTCTCACAACTCAACATCCAAAGTAGGAAGTTACATCAAGCATTGCATGTAGCTTAGCTATTGGACCGCCTATCATTTGCCAACGTATAGACTCTGGCAAGTCAAAACAAACCTGGTTCCAGTCCAACTTAACTTAAATAACTTAAGCACTGTGCATTTGTCTGTCCTTTTTCTGGTTATTTACCTTCTCTAGTGCAGACAGACCAATCAAGAGACATATAGTAGTAATTTAAATGTAGGGTTTTCAGAAGCATTTTGGTTACATAGCTTAAAATTCTCTTGGCAATGAATACATTAAATGCACTGACAACATAAAAGAAAAAAAAAAGTTATTTGCAGAAGCAGCAGGGCTGAAAAAAGCCTGACCAATAATTTCACTCATCGCAAGCAAAATCACTGGATGGCCTACCTGCCTGTCAACCTAACTTCCTACTTGCATGTGCTCTGCCCACGCACTCAAAGTGCAAGCCAAGAGTCTGCCACAAGGTATTGCAGATGCAGGCAGATGTATTATTGCTCTGTTTTGATGGCTAAAGCCAGCGAGATATGGCAGAGAAGGTACCCACAGCAGCTTTCTTTCGCAAACAGAGTCTGTTGTTACAGATCAGGCCTTCCACTTTGAGACATGCTGTATGAAAAGAAGTTGGATGCTGCACGAAGTAAAACCAGAATTAACACTGGTGTTGTTTTTGAATGATGGTGACAACTGAGAGAGCAAAAGGGGCTGAAAAGTGATTTCTGCTGGACAGGCATTTATCTGTTTTGTTTGCGTGGCATTTGTTATTTTTCTGAAATCTGTAAGTAGTAATCAGGCAGTGAGTGTTGTTTTTGGAGGAGTGGCTTTGGAGAAAAGTCAGAATGGAAGGGTGGGATTTCTTTGGTTGTCTTCTTTCAAAAATCAAGCTTCCTCTTGTTGGTTTTTCCTGGATTGCCAACCCTATCTTTAACATAAGCATTAGTTCATTCACTTCATTATGTAATACTATGTTGTCTAAGTGTAGGAGCTTCATTGTCTCCTATATTATATAAAGAAGAAATACATATTTAGGTGGCATTTGTGGAATTATTTGCTGCTAGCTGGATTCACACTGCATTGGTCAACACCAGATAGCCACTAATTGCTAAAACATTCCATGTGGACCACTAAGATGCCCTGCCTGCCACGTGTTTGCCTGTAAGCATATGGCATGTGAGTGCACTTGGCTGGAACAAACCTATCTCAGCTGCAGACATAGCTCCACACAGACCGACACATGCATGCACAAACAGGCCACATTAGTGGACGCATCCTCATCAGCGTGTCATTATGGATGAACTGACATAAATGCAGACTCATAAGCGATAGCTTCTGTTAAGTAGTGCATAACAAAGACACAGATTGATATGTACAGCTGTCACAAACACACAAAATCATGTTGGCATTTGTGGCTCCTGTGAACTGCATCATGGGGAGCAGGAAATGATGCATTTGTTTTTCGCTGTCATGACCTCTGTTTTTCAACATCTGTAAGAGTCTGTCACATGTACATTAACAGGTTTTAACGGATTAGCAAATTGGTAATACATGCCTGCATCAATGGCACTGATACATTCCTGTATAGTAAATATACTTTTCTGTCTTCTACAAAATATATACTTCAGCCTGCCCAATCCAGGGGCTTTGGAAATGTCTAATCAAACACAGTCTTTAAAATGTCCACAAGATTTCTCCCCTATTACTTAATTTTATTCATGAAGATTCGTACATCAGCTGGTACTTTTTTTTATACTGACAAAGACTAGGCTTCATTTCTTAGAGCCTTGTTGTCGTTAAGTGACTTGTTGAAAGAGATATTTTCCATAGTATGAGCAGGTTGAATCAAAGTAGCCAAAGAGAGACAGTAACTCCTGTCAGCAGTCTGAGATGGAGTTTGAAGTGTGTCAGCAGTGAGCTGCTGTCAGGTAAATAGCTCAGTCTGATATCTTTGTAATTCATGAATATGTCAAGGTACGTGTATATGGAACTTTTGACTAAAAGGTAATGAGTGACAAAAAGAAAAGGGGAGATGAAAGAGAAATGGAGCATAATGTACAAATGGGTAAAAATAAATAAGCAAAAAGAATGGGGAGGAAGGGGACAGAAAAATGCTAAGGGAAGATAGAGGATGTGTGAAAAATGAAATCGGGCATCAATTATTTTCCTGGTCAAGGCCTAAAATGTGATAATAGTGAAAATCTGATGACACTATCAGCTAACATTTTTGAGTGGTATCAATCGTTTCATACAACTCTGCCAGTTATATTTTATGTATTAATATAATCTGTAAAAATATAAAATAAAATAAAATAAAAAATATAACACTTCATTTATTATCTGTTCTCGTCCTGGTTTCCTGTTTTTATGTTTGACCTGGGTCACATCTCCAGAGTGGCAGAGAAGAATTAACTGTCTTAGAGTAAGAAAGAAAGAAAGTCACTTTTGGCTTCTCCCGTTTAGGGGTTGCCACAGCGAATCGTCACACTGACGACTTGCATGTTGACATTTGGCACATGTTTTATGCCGGATACCCTTCCTGACGCAACCCTGATTTGAACCCGGGCTGCAGCGAGAGCGCTGCACCTTAACCACTAGCCTACCAGGGACGGCCTCAGAGTAAAAACCAAATAAAATACAGTTGACTTCCCGAGCACAGACACAAAGAGAAAAAAAACACACATACATAAAATTTGTTGCCATATGCAAATGTCAAGCTCACCAACACACTAATGCCACAGTGTCTTAATGTGCAGTCTGCATAAGAGAACTTGCAATCTGTTTTGAAAATTTAATATAAGATATATTTTCCTATCCAGGCTGGGACACAACACACTGACCACACTACACAGAACTGCAGTTGCTTTCTTACAGAGTGTCTCCAAGGTCACTAGAATAGGAGCTGTGAACCATGACAGTGCCCACAAACACAGGAACAGCAGCCTATGCAAAGCCAGTGTAACAGCCAATTCACTGCTGACATTTGGTGTGATCCCTATACCCCATCTTATGCACAATTCTTATCGCTCTTTTTTGTAATATATACAATCTGAACATATCTGATATGAGATTTCCAGGAGAATTTGTCATCAACTATGACACCTAGAAATTTAATTTCATATACTCGTTCTATATTAGCTCCCCCAATTTTCAAATGAAGTTCGTTATCTAGTCTACGATTCCCAAATACCATAAATTTAGTTTTATCCATATTCAGAGATAGTATATTACTATCACACCATTTCTTTATCTTCTCAAGTTCCTGTGAAACCTGTCCCGATAGTTGCTGTAGGTTATCCCCGGATGCCCATATGGTAGTGTCATCAGCAAATAAAACCATTTTCACTAAATCTGAAACCTTGCACATATCGTTAATGTATAATATGAATAATTTAGGTCCCAAAACTGAACCTTGAGGCACTCCACATACAATGTCCAGATTACTCAACTGATATTCACCCAACTTCACAAATTGACGCCTTTGTGTCAAATAACTACTAACTATGTTCACTCTCTAGACGTTATGGCGGTCAGTAGAGGTCAGTCAGTTTTTAGCACTTTTTCCACAGAAACCAGGTTCATGCTATGGCTGAAAAAAAGAGGAGACCTGTGAGAGTGAAACACAAAAGTAAAGTTGAAAGGACAAAACAATCTCTGTAGAGCTGAAGGGCATTGCAGAGTCAACTGATACTTCTGTGAACTCATCACTATTAGTGACCTCTTTCACATTCAACTAGCTGTGTTACTGTGTTAATATGAAAATACTGATGGTAGCAGCTTTAAATTAATACTGTAGCCTTGGATGGGAATTGGACACAGTGCCTGTAAAGTAGGAATGTCCAGTGTAAAGAACTGCCAATGGATATTAGACAGAGATGTATTGGACATCATGAGAGGCACAAAGACATGTTAACATACCAGTACTCTGCTGACCCCACATAGAAAACTTCAACCTCTACTCTCAGTCTTTGTCTCTGAATCCATCAGTTAGATGACTTTATGGGCAGACTGCTCCATTCACCTCATTCTCTCTCCCTCCTTGAAAAAAACTGCATCAAGTTGCCAGTCTGCTGTGAACAAAGCCCATTGTAAGGTGAGAGAATGGCCTTAAATCTTTTGAGCACAGTTGTGACTAAACTTTTTGATTTGAAAGAAAAAAAGAGGTAGCATTTCCTCACTGATCTGCTTTGAAAGATGCCATTCACGTTTCATATCTTTTTTACAGCATTAAATATTACTTACTAAAACACATTTATGCAACAGACAACAGGTGGATAATGTTGTACTTTTCATTACTTGGAAGGTTAGGGGACACAAATGAGGGATGGGAATAAAGCATTCACTCTCATTTTAAAGCGGAGCTATGTAGGTATTATACAAACTGTATTTTCAGTCAAAAACTAGACACTGGGAAATGCAGAGGTGAGGCATGGAGTTTATTATTATAAGAAATACCAACTTCTAGTGAGGATGAGGTAATGGCATACTTGGATTCTTGATATAGTTTTCTTATTACTGGTGTTAATTACTTTAGCACCAACTTTTCTCTGAGGCTTTGTGAATTGCTGATGGTCAGCATGTGCCACGCCATGCTCCCCTCTCCAATCCAAATCTCTACAGCCACCCTACAGGGCCTATTGTCCCCCTGTGTTATTTACTACAGGGATAACGCTGAAACAGCAGGGATTTGGATGGGGTGGATAAAAAAAAGTCCTCAAAAAAGCAAACAAACAAACAAAAAAAACCCTCAAAATACAGTATGTAGCCACTGTTCACCTGGGTATAGTTCTTTACAAGTTTCAAAAGAGTATAGTTTTTAAAACTGAGTGTGTGGCATGAGTGTGATTGTTTAAGTAATACTGTAAATGTGCTGTATAACCATCCATTGTAAACTGATGTTTTCTCTTACCATTTTAACATTTAGCCAAGTTCTCATTCAAAGAAATGACCCTTGAAAGAATACATAAAGCTTGTAGGACTCTTGATCATGATTCACTGATATGATTTCTACCAGTCTGTCCCTGTGTAAAGTGTATGATATTGAGACACCCACTGCCTGATAAAACGTTTTAGATTATTTTTCTTGTTGCTGTCTATAATTGTTTTGAAAAAAATGTATTTGCGGAAAAAAATTAACTGGTTTGACATAATGCTAAAAAATAAATGCAACTACAAATTAATGCCTCATTTCCTATAGTATTTTAAACTAGGACTACAAATATACTGCCATTTGACAAACAATTACATACTCTATGAGCAATTAATATTTAATACAATTTATACACTCAAACTCTAAACAGTGGTTGTGTTAAAGCCTTCCAGGTTACACAATTGGACTGAATTGAATATGATTATTGCCTTAAAAGAAAGCACTGGATACACCCATGCCATTACTGATACTGTAGCTGCCATTATCATCTGCCATCTAATTTACACTGCTGTAAAATTTGCACACATTTTGCTAACCATATAGACCAGTTTCTTGGCTGGGTGTTTGCTGTGTGCCCATGTGCACGAGTGTGCATGCTTGCTTCACCTATCTAGGGTCATCTCATCAAAAGCTGTGGGGTCAGCCACACTGGTAGTGTGCTATGGCTGTAGTGATGCTGTGGTACAACATCCGTACCCAGGTAGAGCGTAGCCCCAGGCACATTCACCATGGCCCCCCCAGTCCACCAGCAGGCAAGGCTGATGATGCATGGATCTTAAAAGTTGGCCACCTCAAACTGGTGCTCAACAATGCATCCAGGAACAGTCACTTTGAGCATCCTTTCTCCCGTCACCTCAGAATAAACTGAGAATCCAACTCAGCAGTAAAGTCCATATTCCAAAGGGAATAGTCTGGGGCAGAACACAAAAACAGGAGACATAACCAACCTTCAGGAACATGGAAACAGGCAGGGTATGGTGAAAGTATGAACCAGCATCTGACTGAGGGGAGTGAGGAGAAAAAAAAGGCAAGAAACAGAAATTAACAAGCAACAGGTAAAAGCAATGAGAGATAATCGAGAACCAGAATCAAGCTGAGGCAGGTGAGATGGCAAAAACAGGAAGCACATACAAAATAATAGTACAAAGCAGGAAGCAAGGCCAATAACTCTAACAACGCTAGGCAATAGCATGCAATGTGGCCCAGCTGTGGGGAGCACTCGTCTCGCTGTCGTTCAGCTGTTCTCCCACTTCCTCGTGGTAGTAGTGGCGTGGCAGTGACCTGGCAGGCTGCCTCTTCCTCAGCAGTTCCTGGCTGGTAGACCACGCAGTGACCAGGACCTGGAGCCCCACCTCGGTGCACAGGCAGTGGTCTCCCTGCAAGCTCCAGGGCTTCACCCAAGGTTCTGGGGTGGGCCAACTGGATGTCCAGTCTGAGCTTGTCAGGGGCACAAGGGCCTGGACAAACTGATCTTTCACCAACTCATCCTGGATGGCAGGTGACATGAAGGTGTAGGCCTGCCAGCCCAGGCTCTTGTCGTAAGCTAAATTGCAGAGGAATTCTCCCAGCAGCCAGGCACAATATCCAAACTCACTGCACAGTGCATCTAGCAGGTTGAGTTTGCCAAAGTGTCTCTGAAGCAAACTTACCAGAGCTCCATAGTTGCTCTGCCTCTCTGGGCTCAGCAACAGCAGGCATGGTGGGGCATCCTCCATCAGTGATAAAGCCAGCTGTAGCATCCTGGCATCCTCCAACCAGTGGGCAGTAGCAGCCACCATTTTGAACTGGGCAAGATATGCCTCCCAGCTACCGTTACCAGAGAAATTTGGCATTTTCACACCGGGGGGGTGGAAGAAGATGGCATGCTACAGAGCGGTGCTCCCTATGTGGCCTTCTGGTTGGGTCATCATCGAAATGGGGATCGGTCCCGCTGCCCCTAGCTTGTACTCACCTGCTCGCGGCTTTGGAACAGCCGGTTGGTGCTGGCTCTGGGTCCCCGCAAAGCCGGGGTGGTGATGACTGGGTGTGGTTCATCTGGCTTACCTGGAGGGGAACACTGATTCCAT